ACCATAGCCCCAATGGCAAATATTGGAGGGAGCGCCTTTGAGCTGTGTTGCATTTTACAACTTGGCCCAGCCTGACTTTTTTATTCATCCTGACCTGCTCTATATGCCTACAAAATTGCGTAGCTCTAGGCCAAATGTGCTTTTGACAATTTAGAAGGTGGCGCTGTGGAGCAATTTTTCTATTGAGGTGTGAATTGTTCTTCCAAATTATAAAATTTTTCACCGGGTCTGATGTACATGGCAATTTTGGTGAGTTTTCGAGTATGTTTAGGGCCTCAAAAACGCGTGTCTTTGGCACGAATAATAATAATAATCCGAGCAGTTCCAATAGGGTCTTCACACCCTTTGGTGCTCGGACCCTAATTACGAGGTCCAGGAACCCAGCCTCTGTCAGAGCGGAGCTCACGTCCAGAAAACCTGGAACGTGGTTAATGTCAGGAGACGGACAGCAGGTGGCGCCATCAGACGCTGGAGAGGAAGAACTTTAAAATACATGAGATGGAAGTCATGCGTTAGCTTCAAGTTTGTTTTTAAACAACTTTATTTAACAAGTGCTCGTGTACAAACAGCGCGGTGGAGGATTCTGCTGGATTACTGGTAGCAGCTGGACTGATTGAAGACGTTCCACCTCCATCCAGGAGGCTTCATCAGCTCTGACTGACTGGTTGGGAGTTCCACATCCTGATATCCTGAAGGAGACGTTAACACCTGAGTTTTAATTGGGGGTCTGTTGCTCCTCCCCCTCGTTATGTGGGTCGTTAGTGCTCCCCCTGCCACAGTGGGGTTCGTTAGGGTCTCTGTGGCTCAGTGTGGATGTGGGTTCATCTTCCTGGGGGGAGATCTGAGGACTGAACAGGTGAGAGGTGATGCCTCAGACCTCCACCTCTGCTGACGGATGGTCTCTCCTGTTGGAGGTCTGAGGGCTTCTTCTCTCGTGTTAACGTCTCCTTCAGGATATCAGTCTGTGGAACTCCCCACTGGTCAGTCAGAGCTGATGAAGCCTCCTGGATGGAGGTGGAACGTCTTCAGTCAGTCCAGCTGCTACCAGTAATCCAGCAGAACGCTCTTCATGTTCAAACCATCCAGTAAAAACAGAACCACTGACGCCTTGTCTTTCATTTGAAATGTCAGTTTTTATTAATTCAGGATAAATTAGTAGTAATGGTTACATGGTCAGCGGTGGTTCGGTACCGACAGACCCACCAGCAGCGAGTTGGACCTCTACTGTCTGAACACAGCTCTGTGAACCGTCAGAGTCCCAAAACAAAAGAAACCAACCAAACTTCAGGCCTTCGTCCTTCACCGGGCTTCAAGTGTTCAGTTTCCTTCACCGACACCAGGAGGTTCTGAATACTGTTGGACCAGCGCAACAAGAGATGTGCTCCATGGGTTCTTCAACGCCTGGCTCCATCTGAACTTCAACAAGATTAATACTGGGACTAACCAGCAGGTGGCGCCGTTGGACATCGGATCAGGAGGTCATTCAGTCATTCACAGGCATCACTGAGGAAGCTAAGCTCAGTGACTTCAGGTTGATCCTCCTGGAGCTCCTGTGACTGGATGCTTCCTCGGTTCTGCTCCACCTTCCTGATCAGAGCTCACCTGAAGCTGAACATAGAGGACGCCCTTATATGGAGACGTCCTGTTTCCACCTTTAACAGGGACTCACCTGTTGGTTCATAACGTCCTGACCGATGCAGCTCAACCCCCACAGGCAGCGACAGACACGCTGTACGTAGAGCTGCTAACTCCAACTAGTTTAACAATCGATCGGTTTGAGTCACTTTTAAAAACAGAACCCGTCTGAACTCAGCGAACGTTTCCTGGTTTCCGTCCTGCTGACAGGAAACTGAACATCTCTGGACCGAACCCGACGGTTTTCACGCTGGTCGATGTTTCAGAAACCAAACTGATCCGTTAACGGAGAACCCGTGTAATAACTACTGAAGAACAGATGAAGCTTGAACAGACAGGTGCATTCTGGGACATGTAGTGAAGAAAGCTGAGCTGCTGAGGAAGGTCATGTGGAAAAACTGAAAGCTCCACAACAGATCACAGACGTTAATCAGCTCAACGTCTGAGAATAACAAGAAACACGTTCTACATCTCTGAATGTCTCGTTTTGCTCCAGAGCTGCGACAGAAGACAAAGAAACCCCACATGTACTTCAGCTTCTCTTTTGTTTAAATATATAAATACGGTGTTTCTGATTCAATGAGCTGCAGGTCAACGACTACGCTGGACAGCCAGTGGAGAGACCAAAGGCAGCGAGGAGGACAACCCAGGAAGCATCCAGGAACAGCTGGAATAACAACACAAACCTCAGTGACTGATCCGGTTCTGGAGCTGCAGCGCCACCTGTTCTCTGTGGAGCACATCTCCTGCTGCTCCGGCCCGGTCAGACAGTTTAAATAACAAAATAACGGAGCTCTGGACGTTTCCCACACCAACATGAAGACACACGATTCAATAAAAACACTGAGATGCATTCACACACTCGCATGCCTGCAGGAGAAGCAGCTTCCTCCGGCGCCGCGGCCCGGCAGCACAGCCATCAGTCCTGGGTCGGCTCAGAGGGACACGCTTCGGCTTCTCCTCACGGAAAACGCACATGAACAGTTTGTTGTAGTGAAAGTGGTGTGAGACGGGGGGGCGGGATGTGGGTCTACTGTCCAGCTACTGAATCACACCGACGTCTCCGCTGAGCTCCGAGGATCCACAGGAGGCCGCAGAGCCAGGAGCCCAGCCGAGACGAAGCCTACGGGGGGAGGAGGGCGAGGAGGAGGAGGAGGAGCAGGGGGAGTGTTAGAGGAGCAGCCGGACCTCCGCCTCAGCCCTCCATCCCAAAGTCCTCTGTGAACTTCTTCACCTTCAGCAGGTCTTCAGTGTTGACGGTGGGCCGGGTGGTGGACAGAGAGCGCAGCATGTCCGACTGAAACAGCAGAACAGGAGAGGAACCATCAGCAACTCAACCCCACACCTTCCTTCCTGATGCCTCTGCTATAAACTGTGCTAAACATCTGCTTCTCTAGTTTCCTGATGCTCCCTGAACACACCACACTGCAGCTCAGACACAGAAACGGTGGTCTGGTGTCAGAGTTATCCAGCTGACGGCCTGATTTATCTACGAGCAGAGGGCGTTTTAAATGCTAACACCTCATGTTCACTTCGTTTTAGGAATCTACTGCTAACTAACCATCGACGACAACCACCACTCACTGATCTGGTGTCAGGTTCTACCAGAACTCCTTCAAAAAAACTGGTCAAATTACATCAAAGTCGTCTAAAATCACAGAAACGGCCCCAAAGTTCTCAAAGTTTGTCCAAGTGCTGTAGAACTGGTGAAAAGGACTCAAATAATTGTTCAGAATTACATGAAAGTCGTCCTAAACGACTCAAACTGGTTCAAAATCTGACCATGTTTTTTTTTTTTTTAATCTTCTGTGACACCTGGATGGATGTAGAACTGATCTGGTGTCAGGTTCTAGCAGAACCCACATGTGTTCTTCCTCCTAAATGTCATGTGTCTATCTGCTGTACTGATGAAGTTCTGAGGCTCAGAAATGATGGAAAAAGTCCATTAAAGTGATCAATCTGGACCCTCCTCTGTGGACTTGAAGGACCTGGACCTCTGGAACATTCACAGTCTGAAGGTAGAACTCTGGTCAGTAGATAAGGGTGCTGCAGGTCCATGTTGGACCGGTCCTTCTACCTCCTGTCCTGACCCTTGCTAGCGAGCAGCTCACCATGCAGACGATGGGCTCCAGCAGCTTGTCACTCGGCACGTCCATCCAGGTCATCTCTATGGCTGCAGGGTCTCCGGGGGAACACGGGGTCAGCAGGTCGTCCACCATCACCTGGTTGTTGCTCCGGGACGGACCGCGGACCTGCAGGAACACGTTAGCACCATCATGTCCTGTGTGTTTGACCTCCTCCAGAACCTGAGAGTTCTGCTCACTCTGTCCACAAACTGCTCTGATGAAGATGATTCAGACCAGACGTCTGAGTCCTGAAGCTAGTTCTGACTTCATCCTTTATTACTGGATGACTTACAGCCAATCAGACGCTCCGATGGAGAAACTTTGAAGATTCTAAAAATTTAAGTTTAGTTTTTCTGCTGATGTAAGTTCCTGTTATTTATGGGACAGTTTAAACATGAACCCAGAGAAGTGAGATTAAAATCACACATTTATCTGATAACTTTAAACATTACACATCATCATACGAACTCTACCAGACGATTTAAATATTCATATTTTAAATACAACTAATTATGATAGCATTATATAAGTTACAAATGTACCTGATACAGTTATATACATATTTATCTAATTAAAATCAATATTTACTATTTATTCTACCAGTTTAATAACAGATGACACAAAGTGAGTTAGATTTAGTCCCTACAGTGCTACATGTCACACAACCTGACTGACTACAGACAGTCTGTACTGACCTGATTAAACTCTATATTAGATTTTAATTTATGCTCCTGGTTTTAAACATCCCTCCACGGTACCACACTGATCATGTACGGTCCATGTTGTCTGAGCTGTGAACAGCTCCATGTAGAACCCCCGACCCGTCCTCTCACCTTCTTGAAGTGCGTGGCCGACTGGACCTTCCTGACCGGCTGCATCAGAGCGTCCCGGACGATGATGCTGATGTCGGCGCCCGAGTAGCCGTCGGTCTTCCTGGCGAGCTGCCGCAGGTCGGCCTCGCTCAAGCTGTGCGGCGTGTTGCCCAGGTGGAGGCGGAACATCTGGGCCCGGGCCGGTTCCTCCGGCAGGGGGATGTAGATGCGCTTCTCAAACCTGACCGGCGACAAGTTGAACTGCAGCTTCAGCACAGTCAGCAAACGGACTCTGACGCTGCTACG